ATGGAAGATCTATCCATCTCTGTGTCTCTCCCTCTCTCTCTGTAACTCTTTCAAATAAAATAAATTTTTAAAAAAGCTTTTATTAAATATATATAAATATCACATAGTACCCCATAAATATGTATAATTGTAATGTATCAGTTAAAATAAAAGTAATGGAAGCCAAGGTGGATCTTTGGGAAATAGAGGGCAAGTGACCAGATAGAAGGAATGGGAGACTCAGTCTTAGACTGTGGGCCAAATCCAGACAACCTGGGTATGGTTTTCACCTCCCATAAAATTTCAATGCCTGACTCTCCCACCAGCCTATAAGCTTCTTGTCTTGTTTGGTGGAAGGATCATGAATATTTATTGCTTAAAGATAAGGTTTAGGGCTGGCACTGTGTGGCAGAGTGGATTAAGCCACCATTGGCAGTGCTGGCATCCCATATGGGTGTTGGTTCAAGTCCCAGCTGCTCCACTTCCCATCCAGCTCCCTGCTAATATGCCTGGGAAAGCAGCAGAAGATGGCCCAAATGCTTAAGTCCTACTTACCCTTGTGGGAGACCTGGAAGAATCTCCTGGCTTTGGCCTGGCCCAGCCTCAGCCATTTGGGGAGAGAACCGGAAGATGGAAGATCTCTGTCTCTTCTCTCTATATAATTCTGCCTATCAAATAAACCTTAAAAAAAAAAAAAAGAGGGTTTGGGAAGCAGGGGTGATGGGGGCTGGAGAGTGAACGGACACATAGGGCAGAGAAAGAGACGGCCTGGGATGGAGAATGACGCTGGACTAGGATATGGGTGCTGAGCAGGGGCCAGCAAGCACCGTGTGAGGGACCTCGGTCTCAGCAAAGTCTGCTGAGGGGAACGAGGCTCCTGTGAACCAAACTCTAAGCACTGCGCTTGCTCTCCCGACATCCATCGTCTTAGTGAATTCTACGAGTGATCCGTGAGACGGCCATTGCTGTCTTCATTTTCAGGACACTGAAGTTCATGTAAGTTAAATCACTTACACATGACAACACAAGAATTTTTTTAAAAGACTATTTATTTGGAAGTCAGAGTTACAGAGAGAGAGGGAGAGACAGTGAGAGAGAGAGAGAGAGAGATCTTCCATCCTACTAGTTCACCCTCCAGATGGCCACAATGGCCAGCACTGGGAGCTAAGAGCTTTATCCTAGTCTTCCACTTGGGTGCAGGGGCCCAAGTACTCAGCCATCCTCTGCTGCTTTTCCCAGGCCATTAGCAGGGAGCTGGATCAGAAATGGAGCAGCAGAGACTTGAATTGGCATCCATATGGGGCACTAGCATCACAAGCTGGTCTGACCCTTTAAATCCTGCTGCCTCTCTGGGGTGGGATCGGGGGAGGGTAGGGTTTCTGATCAGTGGGGTGTGTGGAGACAGATTAAAGAAGTTCTGACGGGGCCGGCGCTGTGGCCCAGTGGGTTAATCCTATGCCTGTGGCGCTGGCATCCCATATGGGTGCTGGTTCTAATCCCAGCAGCTCCATTTCCAATCCAGCTCTCTGCTATGGCCTGGGAAAGCAGTACAAGATGGCCCAAGTACTTGGCCCCCTGCATCTGCATGGAAGACCCAGAAGAAGCTCCTGGCTCCTGGCTTCGGATCAGCTCAGCTCTAGCCATTGCGGCCACTTGCAGGGTGAACCAGTGGATGGAAGACTTTTTTCTCTGCCTCTCACTGTCTGTAATTCTACCTCTCAAATAAATAAATTAAAAAAAAAAGTTCTGACATCTGGGAGATGGAAAATGGGGATTTTATTTTAAAAAAGATTTATTCATTTGAAAGGCAAAGTTACAGAGAGGTAGAAGCAGAAGCAGAGAGAGAGAGAGAGAGAAAGAGAGACAAGGTGGTCTTCCATCCACGGTCTCACCCCTCAAATGGTTGCAATGGCCAGAGGTGTACCGATCTTAAACTGGGAGCCTGGAGCTTCTTCCAGGCCTCCCATGTGGATGCAGGGGCCCAAGGACTTGGGCCATCTTCTACTGCTTTCTCAGGCCACAGCAGAGAGCTGGATTGGAAGTGGAGCAGCCGGGACTCAAACTGGCGTCCATATATGATGCTGGCATTACAGGCAGTGGCTTTACCCACTATGCCACAGTCCTGGCCATGAAAATGAGGATTTGATAGGATATTGAAGAATAGGGTGGGTAAGATGTGGCTCAGTGTGTCAATGCTTGTATCCCATCTTGGAGAGCTGGTTCAAGTCCCAGCTGCTCTGCTTCCAAATCAGCTTCCTGCTAATGCACTTGGAAAGCAGTGGAGGATTGCTCAAGTTCTTGGGCCCCTGCACCCACATGGGAGAACTGGAAGACGCTCCTGGCTCTGGCTTCAGATCAGCGCAGCTCCAGCTGTTGCGGCCGTCTGGGGAGTGAACCAGCAGATGGAAGACCTCTCTCTCTCTCTCTCTCTCTCTCTGCCTCTCTGTAACTCTGCCTTTCAAATAAAATAAATAAAATCTTTTAAAAATAAATAAGTAAATGAAAAACAAAAGATAGAAGTTTTGAAATTTGTTATAGCTTTAAAATATTAACATCTGATACAATTAGAAATTACATTCAGATTTCAGGCTTTAAAAAAAAAGGCTCTTTATTAAAAAAAAAAAGAAAGAAAGAAAGAAACCTTCTGGATCCCACTGGAAATGAGGTGGCTTCCCACGTGGGCCTGTCTGCTTGATGTCCGGTGCCCACCCATCCCCATGTGCTGGTGTGGGCAGCTGGAGACAGGGCACAGGTGCTATGCCGTGACTTGGCCTGCACAGCCCATGCTCTGGAACCGAAATGATAGGATGTACTGCTTTCTAAAGTGCTGATTACTAAACACACTGTCAACAATACTTCAGTCACTGTAAAAAAATAAAAAAGCACACACTTGCACATTCACACACACAAACCCCGAACAACACAGCCCAACACCTGCAATTATTTTTATGGGAAAATCATTGTTCAGATAAGAAAAAAGAAATCTCTCTGTGGGACACTCAGGGCCAGGTGCTGGGCACAGCTAAGTCTGAGGAGAGATCCAGAACACAACTACTGTCTCTTCTTGTCCCCTCACCCCGCAACAGAAGTCAAGCCACCCACGGTGTCCAGGGGTCTTTCCTGAAAGGAAGTTAGGAGGGAAGGCGGAGAGTGCCCAACTTAAAATGCTTTATTTTAGATCGCCATACTTATGTCTCCATTCTTTTTTTAAAAGATTTATTTATTTGAAAGGCAGAGTTACAGAGAGGCAGAGGCAGAGAGTGAGAGAGAAAGTGAGAGAGAGAGAGAGAGAGAAAGAGAGGTCTTCCATACGCTGGTTCACTCCCCAAATGGCTGCAATGGCTGGAGCTATACTGATCCTAAGCCAGGAACCAGGAGCTTCTTCTGGGTCTCCCACGTGGGTGCAGGGGCCCAAGCACTCGGGCCATCTTCCACTGCTTTCTCAGGCCATAGCAGAGAGCTGGATTGGAAGTGGAGCGGCCAGGACTTGAGCAGGCGCCCATATGGGATGTCAGCACTGAGGCAGTGACTTTACCCGCTATGCCACAGCACCAGCCCCTGTCTCCATTCTTTTAAAAAATTTTTGATGATTTATTTATTTGAGAGAAAGAGAGACAGAGAGAGAGAGAGAGAGAGAGAGAGATCAGATCTTCTATCTGCTGGTTCACTCGCCAAATGGCCACAGCAGCCACGACCGGGCCAAGCCAAAGCCAGGAGCCAGGAGCTCCATCTGAGTGTTCCCCATGGCTGACAGGGCCCAAGCCATTGCCCAATTGGTATTTTTTGTATTTGTCAGCATTTTGAATGTCTGTAGGTTAGAATGCTCTTTCTATCCACTCCTTATTTCCTTACACCTGTCTGACTGCTGGAGGCATTTGATTTCAGAACCCTCTCCACTTGCAGAGATGGGAATTCAGGAAATATACTTGTCCAAGATTTAACAGTAACTGGACAATTCAAAAAACAAAATTCAGGGCTGGTGCTGTGATGTAGCAGGTAAAGCTGCTGCCTGCAATGCTGGCATCCCTTATGGGCACCAGTTCATGTCCTGGCTGTTCCACTTCCAATCCAGTTGCCTGCTAATGGCCTAGGAAAGCAGTAGAAGATGGTCCAAGTGATTGGGCTCCTCCACCCATGTAGGAGATCCGGATGAAGTTCCTCGGTTCTTAGCTTTGGATTGCCCAGCTCCAGCCATTGCAGCCATTTGTGGAGTGAACCAGGGGATGGAAGATTCTCTCTCTCTCTCCTTTTAAATAAATAAATAAATAAATTTTACAAAAATAAATCCACTGGGTTGGTGCTGGGTGTAACAATTTAAGCCACCACTTGCAATGCCAGAACTTCATACCAGTGTGTCAGTCAGTTCAAATCTCGGCTGGCTGCTCTGCTTCCTATCCAGCTCCCTGCCAATGTAGCAGGGAAAGCAGCAGGAGAGGACCCAAGTACTTATGCCTCTGCCACCCACATGGGAGACCCAGATGGAGTTCCTGGTTTCTGACCTCAGCCTGATCCAGCCTTGGCCACTATGACCATTTGCAGAGTGAACCAGCAGATGGGAAGATCTCTTTCCTTCTCTGTCTCACCTTCTCTTTGCATCATTTTGCATTTCAAATAAATTAAATCTAAAAAATAAAATAAATCCATTCCTCCTGACTCCAAAGCACCACAATGCCTATATGTTAACAACCCATCTTCAAAGCTATTTGTACAAGTATATAGAAAAGATAAAAAATAAAAATAAAAAACAAGTATATAGAAAAGATCGAGAAAATTAAGACTTGAGAAGTAGTGAACAAAGTGCAGAAAGTTAAGATTGAAGTATCTAAGAAGTGAGCACTTGGGTGGGAGGGATGGTAGTGTGGGAAGAACCACTATGTTCCTAAATTTGTGTATATGAAATGCATGAAGTGTGTATATGTTAAAATTCAAAAATAAATAAAAATTTTTTAAAAATTTAAAAAGTGAACTATTTTGAAACAAATCAAGATTTAGGGGTGAAAGAACGAGCCAGAGGGTCTGACTGCACTTTTAGGAACTAGTTTTATTTGCGAAACCAAATCGTCCATTCTACCTCTACATCAACACTGTATATCCCACTCTGACCACAAGGTGTCGCTGCTGTCTTTAACTCTTGTTTATAGATTATTTCCCAAATAGCAATTGAGTCAAGAGGTGGGAGTGAGAGCATTGTCTTAAAGTGCTGGGCAGATAGCTAGATCCAGGAACATTTGGGGAAGGAAATTTTAAGGCAGTAGAGGTTCAAGGTGGCTAGGTTAGCAGGTGTGACGAGGATGGGGTTTCGGATGCAGTCAGAGTCTCTCCACATAAAAAGCTTTGCCCATCTGATTTAGTTCCTGCTGGTACTGCTGGTACTCCTTTTCAAACAGCTGGTGCAGGGCAGCTTGACGGACCTGGCAGGGAGGGCAGAAGAGAGTGCAGTGTTTGCTCTCTGTTCACCACCATTTCTCTTTCTCTCCCTGATTGCTTTCCCATCACTGTGTTCCCTTGGACCTGAGCTGAGCTGTGACATAAAGTTAGCTGGCAGCAGAGGGGCTGAACCAGTGGAAGGGAAGCCCCACGTTCACCAGAAAAAATCTCCTGAGAGCATCCCATGAGCCTGGAACTTTCTGCTGGACACCTGCTAAATACAGTGACATGACAGCTACCGGGGACTCCAGGGAGAGAGAGGGATACTCAGGCAGATGCAGCACACGAAGAGGCAGTTTTGAGTCTCACCAGGTCGAGGAGCAAAGACTAGAATGTCTTTTGGGACTTGAAAATGTGCCCCCTTTACGTTGGATGCCAAGAATCTACGGGAAAGAGCTCAGCATTGGAGTTAGAGCTGTAATGGTGAAATAGCCGAGGCTTGGGAGACGGCTGAGGAATGACAAGAGGCCACGAGCTCGGACACCCCGGCAGGGCAGCGCAGGCGGAGGCGGAGGCGGAGGCTGCCCGGCGAGAACGCACCATCAACAGCTGCTTGCTTGCCAGCGCCAGCTCCCGCGCCACTTCCTCCCGCAGCCTCAGGGCGGCGTAGGGGTTTCTCCTCTGGTTCAACGTCATCTGCCACAGGCAGCGAGTTCGGGAATTCCGCCACCTGCGCCAGGTACAGATGTGGGAACTGAATGGGTTAGAGCCAGGAGAGGAGACAAAGATATCTACCAGGGAAGCCACCTCTTTGCCAAGAACCTCTGTGCCACCTTAGAAGATTCCAAAAATCCTTAAATGAGTAACTACAATGGATTTAGAATCTTCTATGGAGGATACTATGTTATTTAATGATTACAGTAGCTATGTGGTATAATTATTAATTTTCTCATAAAGCAGATGAGGAAACTAAAATTGTGGTTTGTCCAAAGTCACGTAGTGGCAGATTTTGGTCTCAAATCCTAGCTTTCTTGGGGCTAATATGAGTATTTCTCCCACCACACCAATGATTCTCATCACTGGTCACACACTGGAATCTTCATTAAGGTTTTCTTTAAAATATAAAAAAATAAAAAATTTTAATACATAAAAGGAATATACATGGAGTCTTCAAAAAAGTTAATGGAAAACGAACATTACCTTTAAAAATATATATTTATTTGAAAGCCAGAATGACAGAGAGAGATAGAGACCTTCCATCTGTTGGTTCACTCTCCAAACACCTGCACTAAGCAGGGCTGGACCAGGACAAAGCCAGGAGCAAAGAACTCCATCCCTGACTCCCTCATGCGTGGCAGGGGCCCAAGCACTCAGTGCATCTTCCACTACCTTCCTAGGTGCAGTAACTGGGAACCAGATTGGAAGCAGAGGAGCAGGGACTCAAACTGGTGCTCGAATATGGCATGCCAGGATTGCTAGGGGCAGCTTAACCTGCTGGGCCATGCCAGGGACCCTCTCCACATTATCATTTATTCATTTATTTGAAAGTCAGTGTTACAGAGAGAGGAGAGAGAGGGAGAGAGAGAGCGAGAGAGAGACAGACAAACAGAGAAATCTTCCATCTGCTGGTTCACTCTCCAAATGACCTCAATGACTCGGGCTGGGCCAGGATGAAGCCAGGAGCCAGGTGCTTCTTCTGGGTCTCCCACATAAGTGTACGTGCCCAAGGACTCGGACCATCTTCCACTACTTTTCCAGGTCATAGCAGAGAGCTGGATCGGAAGTGGAGCAGCTGGGTCTTGAACCAGCACCCATATGGGATGCCAGCACTGCAGGTGGCGACTTTACCCGCCATGCCACAGCGCCAGTCCCCACACATTACCTTTAATTCCATTCTTCCATAGACTTTTTTGGAGTATCTTCCTATACATCAGATACTTATAGTATGTATATTTTTTTTAAGATTTATTTATTTATTTGAAAGTCAGAATTAAACACAGAGAAGAGAGGCAGAGAAACAGAGAGAGGGAGAGGTCTTCCATCTGCTGGTTCACTCTCCAATTGGCCACAATTGCCAGAGCTGTACCAATCTGAAGCCAGGAGCCAGGAGCTTCTTCCAGGTCTCCCACACAGGTGCAGGGGCCCAAGACCTTGGGCCATCTTCAATTGCTTTCCCAGGCCATAGCAGAGAGCTGGATTGGAAGTGGAGCAGCTGGGTCTCAAACTGGCACCCATATGGGACGCCGGCACTGCAAGTGGCGGCTTTACCTGCTATGCCAGAGTGATGGCCCCATAAGTATGTATTTGTATATATACACTGTTGACATTTTTAAACAAATTGGGGGGCCAGCACTGTAGTGTAGGGGGTAAAGCTGCTGCCTGCAGCACCGGCATCCCATATGGGTGCCAGTTTGAGTCTTGGCTGCTCCATTTCCGATCCAGCTCTTTGCTACAGCCTGGAAGAGCAGAAGATGACCCAATACCTTAGGCCCCTGCACCTGTGTGGGAGACAAGAAGGAAGCTCCTGGCTCCTGGCTTCAGATTGTCCCAGCTCAGGCAATTGAGGCGCCTTGGGCGAGTGAACCAGCAGATGGTAGACCTCTCCCCTCACTCTGCTTACTCCGCTGCTGTTCTCCGTGTTGGATTCGGACTTTTACCCAAATAAACCCCCTGTCTAAAAAAACAGCATTCTATGAATACAGCCACAGCGGAGATGATAT